ATGGTTCGTGTACTTCCTTCATCTGTTCAATAGTAATGGGCTTGGGCCGTTTAAGGAGGAGAGTAAGGACCACTTCGCCAGCCTCTCCTCCATCGTTTCTCATGACCCGGAGCTCCGCAAAAAGAAGGCGATAAGGATCCTTGAAATTGGCGTTGGAACTGGTAGGAGTAACTGTTTAAAAATCTCACTGCACATGTTGAGAGGCTAAAAAACGCCATAAATATCTTGTATTCTTTCGTGACTGCTGCATTTTATTCATAACATCGTAATAATCAAATATAAATCCGTTCTTATATACTTGTAATGAGTAACATGTTTCCCAACTTAGATCTATATTATTTCATGGTGGAAAGGATTCTCATGATTATTGGTGTACTTGGCAGGTGTGAACAGTTGCCACTACCCAGACGGCTCTCATCTGGTGGCAGTGGACCGAAACCCACATTTAAAGTCTTATTGGGAGAACTGCAGAAAGAGGTTGCCCAACATTCATACTGGAGAGTTACTGGTGGCTTCAGGTAGGGCAAAGATACCAGGTGTGTGCGAATGTCTGCTCTTTATAGTAGGCGGGAGAAAAAAGTGTGTCAAGGGATGGAAATGTTGGATAGCTGGTGATTCTCCCATCTTCCTTCACTGGAGGTCCGCGATACATTCATGAAAAGACTCAGGATGCCATGACCTACGTCAAACTATGGACGACGAGATCTCTTCATTACTTTTACATGCAACCCTGTCTGGACTGACATAACAGAAGCTCTAATGGAAGGCCAGAAAGGACAAGATCGGCATGACATTATAGCGAGAGTATTTCGTCAGAAAGTGCTCAAACTCATGGACTTGCTTACAAAAGCATCAATCTTTGGCCCTACACGGTGCTACATGTACTCCATTGAGTGGCAGAAACGAGGTCTACCACATGCCCATGTCTTGATCTGGCTGAAAGAGAAACTTCGACCGAACATGATTGACACTGCATACGAGCAGAGTTTCCTGATCCAGAAGAAGATCCAGTTCTCTGAGATTATCAAGAAGCAAATGATTCATGGGCCATGTGGACCATTCAACAGACACTCCATTCATGAAAGATGGACGTTGCACCAAAAACTTCCCAAAAGACCTGATAAAGGATACTCCGTGGAGAAGATGGCCATCCTCAGTACAGAAGAGCGAGAGGCGATGGAGGTTTTACAGCAGTGTTGCGACCTGAAACAGACAGGGAAATAACAGTAGACAACAAATGGGTGGTCCTCTACAATCCTCTTTTGAGTAAAGCATTCAATGCGCACATCTATGTAGAGTTCTGCAATTCAGTCAAGTCAATCAAGTATGTCTGCAAATACGTCAATAAAGGCTCTGACCAAGCGATCTTTGCATTGGAAAAGGATGGAAATCATTTTGAGGTGACCGTTTCACCAAGGCCGTTATATATGCAGCAATGAAGCCCTATGGAGAATTTATAATTTTCCCATACACGAATGATGTCCAACCGTAGTTCATCTGGCTGTTCATCTGGAAAATGGACAAGGGGTATACTTCACAGAAAAGTCCCTCCAAAATCAAATGGCAAATCCTGCTGATACGCCCCTCAATGCATTTTTCAAGTTTTCACAGGAAGATGAGTTTGCTCAAATACTCCTGTATGTTGACGTACCCAAGTTCTACATATGGCAGGCTTCAATGAAAAAGTTCCAGAGAAGAGCTCAAGGATCCGATGTTAAAGGATATCCAGGGATAAAGTCAGGCAATGCTTTGGGACGTGTCTACACGGTTCACCCCAACAACTTTGAATGCTATTGTTTGAGACTACTTTTGCACCACATCTGTAGCCCAACATCATGTGCAGCATTCAAGACAGTGAATGGACAAGTCTGCAGAACCTATCGGGAAGCGTGCAATCTCCTTGGCCTACTGGAAGATGATGGTCACTGGAATGACACATTAGAAGAGGCAGCAGCTACTCAATCGCCAATGAGAATGAGGAACCAGTTTGCCATCATGATTGCTACATGTGGACTCTCCATCCCAAGCCAGCTCTGGAAAAACCATCAAGCAAGTAGAGAACATTCTGGTCAAGAGATTGAGTTCATGGATGACATGTTCAACAGGGCTCTGATCATGCTGGAAGACAGTGATGGAGCTATGCGGAAAAAACCTAACTGATTTTGGATTGCCTTCCCGAAACCGAGAAGAACCAGAAGTTGCAAACAGAGTTGCTCAGAGAGACAGACTACTCAGTTGAAGTTCTGGTGAATTTTCTTGAAGAAAAAGAGCCTCGTCTGGTGCCTGATCAAGCAAATGCTTATGAACAGATCTTGCAAGCGATACAAGCGGAGCAGGGAGGTATGATCTTTCTCGATGCAACCTTCTGTTGGCCAAAGTACGTCATCAGGGGAAAATTGCTCTTGCTGTGGCATCCTCAGGCATTGCTGCAACACTACTAGGAGGACGTACTGCACACTCGACTTTTAAACTGCCTCTCAATCTCGCTCACAATGAGAATCCAGTGTGCAACATCAAAAAAGGATCGGCAAAGGCAGAACTCTTAGAAAAATGCAGCCTCATAGTCTGGGATGAATGCACTATGTCTCACAAGTTAGCGTTTGAAGCATTGGACAGGACCTTGCAAGACATACGAGAAAATGACCATCTCATGGGTGGTATTACAATGGTCATTGCTGGAGACTTTCGCCAGACCCTACCTGTCACTCGAAACACTCCAGCTGATGAACTGAATGCGTGCCTCAAGGCATCATACCTTTGGAGAAGTGTTCAGACACTCACTCTATCCACAAATATGAGAGTACATCTACAAGGAGATCAGGATGCTGGACGGTTTGCTAACCTTCTACTACAGATTGGGAATGGAACTTTCCCTGTTGATTCAGAAGGACTAATAATCATTCCTCAAGGATGTGGAAATGTTGTAAAGTCCTCAACTTAGCTCACTAACATGGTCTACCCAAACATTATCCGCCACTACAAGGATCACAAGTGGCTGCGTGAACGTGCAATTCTGGCACCAAAGAGTGAAACAGTGGCTGAAATCAACATGACTACCCAGACAGCTTCCAGGCAGTGAGACCTCATTCAAATCAGTTGATACAGTAATCGACCAGGACCAAGCAGTCCAGTACCCTGCAGAATTTCGTAATTCTTTGGAGCCCGCTGGAGTGCTTCCTCACCACCTCACTCTCAATATTGGAACTCCTATAATGCTCTTAAGAAATCTTGAACCACCAATCCTCTGCAGTGGCACAAGACTGGTGGTGAAGAACATGCCACATGTACTGGAAGCTACAATACTGACAGGAAAAGCTAAAGGGGAGGACGTTTTTATACCAAGGATACCTCTCATCACCACTGACCTGCCATTTGAGTTCAAGCGACTTCAGTTCCAGGTTAAAGTGAGCTTTGCCATGATCATCTACAAAAGCCAGGGACAGTCCCTAAGGATGGTTGGCCTAAACCTGGTGTTTCCTTGCTTCTCTCATGTTGGATGCTCCAGAGTGGGAACTGGTAAAAAAAATCTGTACGTACTTGCTGCTAATGGCAAAACAAAAAATGTGGTCTACCTTAATGCACTACAGCGAGACAATGTGGATATCTCTCTCTCTCTCTCTCTCTCTCTCTCTCTCTCTCTGAATCGCTGCCCTCCGGGCTATCTTTATTTGCTAGCATTAGAATATTGCAAAAATAATAGTGTAGCTTGTATGAGCACAACTTACTTGGGATGCACCGGACCTATAATATCAAGTTCTGGCTAGAATCGGAACTTAGGGTGTTAAAGCTAATTACATAACATTGAGAAATCTAGTAGTTTGATATTATTGTTCTGTTATCCTTTTAAAGTCGTTTATATAACTAAAGCTACAAATATGAAGGTTTAGGTTATTTGTTTTTTATTATATTTTTTACGGGGAATAACCCACCCGGGCACAAGTCATCGACCCACATCAGGGATTAGGGAACGAAAAAAATAGTAATAAAAAAAAAATACAAAAGGAAAAGGATATATTAATCTACACAACGAAGATGCCGTGGTTCCCAAACAGAAGGCTACAGTGTTGTTCAAAGGTGAATCACACACGTTTGCTAAATAACATGCAGCTGCATAGGTTACCTGTCCAGTACTTGGTATTAACTAAGCAATAAGGTTAATCATTGTTTCTGCAATAGTTTATTGAAGATAATGTACTGTATATCAGATTCTCAGGTTTAGTGTTTGTTCTATTTCAAAGTGGACATCGGAAATTAAATATTAAACAGTATACAATTATTCATACTTTGATTTTGATTCGCTTTATATTAAATACATCAGGTGTCATCTACAGTACAGTACAATAGATAGATCAATATTCATTAACCAATCTGTACTTTTTAATGTTGCATTATCCATTAGAAATATGAAGCATTGACAGTGTATTATATTATATGAAACCGTAACCATTACCACTATAAATAGTTCCGGTTGTGGCCGGTTATTTTACCGAAATTCCAGCCGGAATCGGAACTTAATAAAAATAGGTTCCGGCCGGAAGTAACAGGCCAGATCTTAAGTTCCGGTGCATCCTTACTATTTGTTAATTCTATTTTTACTGGATGTCGACCATGTATTGTATGAAGGCAAATATTTTTATTTTGTCATCTCGTTCCATTTTCTTTTACAATCATCCTG